ATATATGTAAATAAAAGTCAATTTTATTGTTTTCAAAAAAAGTTGACTAATTCTAACATTGACAAAACTTTGAGTTCAATGTCAAAACAGAAAAATACGTATTATACATATGTAGGTGAGGGAACGTTTTGAGTCTAGACTAACCTCAACAATCTTAAATAGATCTTCAGAGGATAGATGACAATTGAGAGAAAGAGAAAAGAACAAGGCAATCTATTTATACTATTTATATGAAAGACAGTTAGTGCTTCTTATTTCCAACTGACATTTGGCATTGTATAAAGCTGCTACGATTCAGACAAAATTCACTACTTGTGTAAAAAAAGCCATGTATTTAAACACAACAGCGTTTGTCTTTCTTTAATTTCAACTCTCGAAAGAAGAGTTTTCGCTTTATTTTCCTTTTTATTGAAAATGTTTCTTAGGCATGTAAGATAAGCTACGGAGAGTGAAGAAAACTTTCGATAGCTTGTAGTTTATTGAACTCAAATTTTCCGTATAACTCTTCTTCCCTTGTATCGAAAGAGTATTATTTCAAGTCGTTGGTACTGTGAGGGCCAACATCTAATCATACAAAATTTAATGTTTCCTCAACAATGTTTTCTAAGTCTGTTTCACTGCGAAAATGTTACTATTTGCTCCGGAAGTTGGTGGAAAAATTTGACATTCGCACAAGACTTTCAATGCTGATGCATTGCATAAATCTATTAATATAATGAAATGAGAACCAAATAATTGAGCTTACTTATGTCTCACAGCTTCGTCGCAGTGGCGGCGAAGCCCTTAGGCTTGGGAAGGCTCAAGCCTCCCCTAAAAAAGAATTGGGGAGGCTCAAATATTTGAAAATTTTTTACAGATCTCATTTTGATTTTATTTTTCGGACGTGATAACCATTTGAACAAGTATTACTTTTTTTTTTAGGAAAAGATTATGTTCAGTCCGATGTTAGATGACAGACATTTATAACTGTATTATTTTCGATACATCTTCACATATTACTACTAGCGTCTTTTTGATGAAGGGAAATAGTCAACGCATTGAACACATCGCTGGTACTCGGCGTATTTTTATCTACTACTAAAACTTTTATCATCATCCTCACTTCATTGTTTTAAGATTTTGAACTGATGAACAATAATCTTTGCTTTGTGTTTTATGGGAAGGACATTGCACTAGTTCAGATTTCTGTTGCTTTTTCACAATAATTTGAATATTCTTCTTCTTCTTCTTATTATTATTACTATTAAATATATATACATTTAGAACAATTTCATTCACATACGCAGTGACGTAGCCAAGATTCTTTTAGCATTGGGCCATTTCCCAGCGGAGCCCTTTTGAGGAGTGGCAGCCATGGGCAATTCAAAGTTTCATTGGGCTATATTTTCTTTGCTGGTCCATTATACTTTTTCGATGCAAGAGCATACCTGAACTTCAGACTCCGGTTGGGTAAAATTTTTTTCACTCATTGGCGTAAAAACCTCTAGTGTATTATTTATTTTCAAACTACTGCCAGCGAAATTTTCTTCTGCATTTGCAAAAATTCTAATTTGCATAAAAAAGAGAATGTCTGTATTAGAATTCAACTTCTGTTACACATAGAAAAATGTACAGATAATGCTACTGAAGGCGGCCAATTTTCGGAGCAGTTGTAAAAAGTTTGACTGATAAAACTTAGAATTCAGTATGAAAAACGAGAACAAATTGATTTTTATAGTAGCAACTGAAAAAACCATTCTTCATTTTGTACTTCACCGCCGAAGGCGTGAATTTTTTGGGAAATAATTGAAAATTTCGGGCTGAAACTTTGATTATTCAATATCAATGACACGGGAGCTAGCTTTTTATTTGCATGTATGCAAGAATTACGCTTTATTACATATTTCACTACCGAAGATGACCACGCTCGTACCCTTTATATGCCAGAAGCTCCACGTAGACTTCAAAGAAATGCAAATGTGTCATTTCTTAAATGTAACTTTAACTAAAAATCCAAGCATATATAACACTGGAAGCAAAATGAACAGAAAGAAACATGATAGCTTGGAATACGTTCGCAGGGCGAAGAATTTTTGACAAATGCAAGGAAATCATGCCTGAAAATCTTTTTTCTCAGAAACTTTTCTCAAAAAAGCCGATATAACAGTTGCTGAAAAATGTCCTCCTATCAGCGTTTCCAAAGGCAGGGTGGAGGTAACTCCCTATTCTCGGTTTTTACATCTCTAGTTAGCCTATATATAGTAATAAAACACTATAACTCTATCATATTGATCAACCTGCGTGTTTCGTCTGTTTGTATATTGATGAAAGAAGAGGAATGAAGAAGCTGCCTTTGTTTTTCAATCCAATATTAACCGCATAAATGATGTGCAATGGGAAACATATATTTTGCTATTAGTTATAAAGTACAGTCCAGTAGGGCTAATAACTATTTTGAGCGGGATTCTCCATTCCAGTACGAAATCTGGTTCGGCATTTCACGTATTATATATTGTAATTCCCTTTTCAGAATTTTTAGAAATTGTAATGATAATTTCTATCAAATTCTCATAAAAAATAAGAGCTTGCCTCCGCTTTCATTGAATGCGACCTATTGACCGTTATTATGATTTTCTGATACGCACTTCCAATGATCTTCTTTCTCTCAACTATACTTAAGTTTAGTATCTCTGAATGATTATGTGTGGCAGACACGTAAGTAGATCAGGACCCAAAGGACAGAGTACATGCAAATCTTCTTACTAACTAAATTACATTCAATTCGATTTAACACCACTAAACTAAAAAATTTTACTAAACATGACGAGATTTGTAGAGAATGCACAAATATCCATATTTGTGAGTAACGGACAATTGCTATCATTCTAAAAAAGTATTGGGCAATTGTCATCATTCTCAAAAGTCATTCGGCAATACTTTTTTGAGCATTGGGCAATTGAAAACCTCTCTACCTCTTACAATATTGTTCTTACGTTTTTTTTCGAAAAAAATTTTTGAGCCTCCCCTAAATTAAAATCGTTCCACCGCCCCTGTCAGCAGAACAAAGGCGATTGAATCAAATTTAAGAGGTTGAAAATACAAAGATTAGCAATAGCATCCTAATATTGATTGCAATAAATTTTTCAAAAAAATGAAATCCCATTTTAATACTTTTCCAGAAAATACATATGAGTGATCCATATAACTTAATCTTGCTACGGAACGATTCTTTGACAATAGACAATAACGAAGATCATTGGTAAAATTCATTTTATTCAAATTGACAGAAACAATAGCTACAGCAGTATTGAACATGCTTCATCTACTAAAGAAAACTAAATATATAAATACATTTATTTCCAATCCAATAATTACCTCATTGCTCGATATTATCTATCGCATAAAATCAGTAATACCTATTATTGCGAACCTATTTTGAAAGATAAATTATACTTATCATAAAGCAACAGACTAAAGTTTCTATAGAAACCAATAGTGATGGAAGAATATTTGTAAGAACATTAGACATTGTTGCTTGACTATTCAAATAGAATGAACGAAGAAAGTATATATGAGCATCGGTAATTGTTCGAACATCAATAGGGCAAGCATAGAAAATATTTGTTCTATAAGATATTCTTATCCATTCGTTATTAGCAAAAGTACTTACTCATTTTTAAGAGTCAACATGTCTTCAATCGAAGGAAAATGTTATACCTAATGAAATTTAGCTTTTTCTTAAAAAAAATTGATCATATCGTATAATGATTCGTCAAAAAAGAACATTTCAATGCATCTCGCTTTATAGAGAATTAGAATGAAACTCTCAGCAAATAACACGACAAAACTTATAGTAGTTAGAATAGATCATCTTTCTCATTGAATTATTTCAATATCTTGTAGACTATTTGTATAAAATTGTAATTCTAGTCTAACGAGGCAACTATTTTAAATATAACCCTCGTTTGCGCCCATATTGTACCCACCAAGAGATTCGGGTAAGAATAGAAAAAGTCTGCAATAGTTCATCTTCATGGCTTGGTATCAAGATATTGAATTTACAGAAAAAATCTTTTATGACAAACATAGCATAAAAATCGAGTTTACTTAAAAATTCATTATCTTGACAAATGAACAATCTTTTCAATTAAAACTTTTAGAATATTCGAAGGGTCATTACACCTATCTATAAGCAAAACCTCATGTTAAAATTTCGTTCTTTGATTTTTCTAATGACTTTTATATGGTATATGACGTTTACAAAAACAAAAGCCTTTTTATTTTTGGATTTCAATCAATTGTAAACAAAGTACAAAACCTATTAGTCACTGTTTATAATCTTATACATGTTGTTAAGACTTGAAGCATATTTCTGTATGAAAACTTTCAATAAATATTTATTTCACTACGAAAAACAAACTCTTTTGTTTTTCTGGGTTACAAACAATATTATGACTTAGATTATTGTTCTATTACAAAGAAATATATTAATAACTAAATTATTTCGTCAAATGAATTATAAAATTTTTCTTGTCGTTTTTTAAGAATAAATGTAACTTTATCATATGAAACATTTTTTTCAGATTATTTGCTCACAAGGTTAAAATTACATGTAACTAGTATCAAAAATGAATGGCGTTTACTTTCTTTGTTTGACAAATAGGTTTTTTCTTTTCTGCTATGTTAAGAATTTTACAATGCCTTTTTTTTTTGATCATAATACTATTATAGAGTATGAATCTCTTTTTCATTCTTTACTTTTGAAGAATACGAAAAAAAAACACTTTTTACATTGATTCAGATTCGTTGCATTAAGAAACAAAACAGAAGTGCATTTAATGCTGCGAGCATACATAAAACTATTGTCTTGAAGGTAAGATGTTAAAGAATTAAAAGTGGATTTACAATTTTCTAACTATACATTTGTTCTCAACATATCATTGACAGATTTTTTAACGAAAACTAGTGATAGTGAATCGAAAATACTAACTTATAGCTTACAAGATCGTCAAGATTACCTAATGTTGAGTCAATCGATACAACAAACTCAAGACCTATTACAATTAAAAATAAAGCGCATAGCAATCGATTTTGATGGACGTCTCGGTTCATTATATGATGGATGTCAAGATCAGTTACTTGGAACATTGGATATAAATTTCGAACAATCATCAATTCAATTTTATCATAAAACACGATGTATTCTTGAAAAAGGTGATAAAAATCATAAACGAAATCTTCTTGAATTAATTAATATAGATGAACAATTACGATTAAGTCTATTACTTAATTTAACATCAACAAATGGAATAGCTGAAATTATTAATTATCCATATATAATAAATGAATACACTCGTATATTACATTATTCTTATATTCATCGAGAAGAAGGATTTCCTGATGAAATAGAAAAAATACGAGAACGACTCGAATCTTGTTTAACTAAAACAAATGCTACTCATATTATTACTAGTATTTGTTGGGGAATTGATATTGTTATTATTTTACAACTTCCACCCGAAGATAATATTGTTTCTATGATTGATGTTATACTTGAAAAATATCGAGCATACTTAAATGGTGATTGTAATGATTTTAAACTAACTCGAGATGATGTTAATTCATATAAACATATTATTAATACAACAATTTATTCGAATATACCAGCTATAACTGAAATGACAACCTTACATAATATATTTCATAGTATTTGTCGTTTAAAAACGGATGATACTCAATATCAACAATTGTATTATATTCTTTGTCCTATATCAAATTCAAGTTATATTCATTTAGATTCAATAAAGAATAATCATTTGGAACAATATTTATATGAATTATCAACTTCTATGAAAATTATCGAAACATGTTTTAATGAAGATATGCCAAATCTCTTATGTGGACATTTTAAAGAACGTTTTTCTAATGTATATAAACAATGGTTAGATATTAAAAATGAATATGTAAATCTAATTGAACGATTATCTAAATTAGTAATTGAAATTCGTTGTGGTCAAAATCAAACATCAATATTAGATAAGTTTCTTAATCATAAAGCACAAATAATTTTCAAAAATAATATTTCTAATTTATTTCAACATGTAATTGATCTTAATAAAAAAGGACACTTAATCAGTGATTTAAGTCGTCTAAATATACAATATTGTAATGTTATTGAACGAAAAGTTGATAAGAATGATAATGAAGATACAATGAAACGTAAATTAATAATTGATGAAAATACGGATCGAATTTTATGTTCTAATGATTTGTTAAATAAAAATAATCCAATACAATATAAAAAATTACTTAATGATTTAATTAATGAACTTGAAAATAATGTTAGATTACGTCTTATCTATGCTGATTTTTCTTATTGTACATATGAATTACGTGATATGATAATTTTAACATCGATTAAAAATGATTATAAAAAAAATAAATCAAAATATAAAGAAATTTCATCATTTATAGATAATAATAATAATAATAATTCAACATCACCACTAACAAGAACATCTTTACCTATTTCATCATCATCGTCAAAATTATCATTAACTGATTCAATTAATATTCTTCTTCTTGGTGAAACAGGTATTGGTAAATCTACTTTTATTAATGCTCTGGTCAACTATCTTACATATAAAACATTTGATAAAGCACAAACTGAGAAACCTATTGTAGCTATGCCTGTTTCGTTTCGTATTACTACTGAGGATGATTTGCAAGAACATAATGTTAAATTTGATGATGTGAATAAGTCAAGTAGTGAGAATTTTCAACATCCTGGCCATTCGGTTACACAACGTTGTCGATCACATATTTATCGTCTTCATAATAGTGATGAAACAAGATTACGTTTTATTGATACACCTGGTTTTGGTGACACACGAGGTATTGAACAAGATAATCTTAATATGCAACATATTATAGAATATATAAAAAATTTCAAATACTTAAATGCTATATGTATTTTACTTAAACCAAATGAATCAAGATTGAATATATTTTTTCGATCATGTCTTACTCAATTATTTAATTTACTAGGTTCTGATGCTCGTAATAATATTATATTTTGTTTTACTAATTCTCGATCAACATTTTACACACCAGGAAATACAGCTTCATTACTGCAACATATGATTTCGTCATTTTCGATAAATGATATTCCATTTCAAAAAAAAAATACATTCTGTTTTGATAATGAATCATTTCGTTATTTAGTTGCTTTACAAAATAAAATTCAATTTAATGATCATGAAAAACAAGAATATAAAATAAGTTGGTCAAATTCAGCAAATGAAGCATATAGACTTATACGTTATATTCGTAAAAAACTTATTCCATATAATATTCCAAATAATTTGGAATCTATAAGATCAGCTGAAATAGAAATTGTTCAAATGATACATCCAATATTAGAAACAATACGTAATATGCTTCGAAAGATTATACGTGGCAAAATGAATGTATTAAGAGTATCATTTGAATCAGATATAAATGATAGTCCTTCATATAATAAAATAGAAAATAATAATTATCATATTAATCAACCTTGTCCTTATCAACCATTTTCAATTGAGTTTTTAGAAGATTATAAAATTATGAATAATTCATCAAGTCAAATTCAAAATGATATGATCGATCAATTAACATTAATATGTCATGTTAATGTTGAATTTGCTTATTTTTTATTACATATTGCTCATTATTCACAAAGTGATCCATTTTTAAATGGTTTTTTACGAATGATTTATGAAGAAAATATTATTTGTGAAAATCGAAATAGAAATTATATGAATTTACAATTAGTTGAAGGTTTAAAAAAATTAGCAAGTAATTATAAACAACGTGTAGAAGTTATTAAATCAAAATCAGAACAAAATATTCTTTCAGATATTCATCAATGGATTAAATATATGCACGAATATCCCTTAATATCTGAATATATCATTGACATATCTGAAGAAAATTTAACAAATGATAATAAAATAACATCAATATAAAATATCTAATCAATTAATTTATCATATAAAATTTTTAGGAAAATCTTCTCTTACGAAAAAGGAGTATATCTAACTGTCAAATACCATTCGACTTGATATTATGACTACGAATAGTAGTAGGCTTCTATGAGACTAGGACACTTTTAGAAGATTTCGAATTTTTAAGTCTAGTAATATAGAGTTATGATCATTTTAATGAAATTTTTACTAAGACTAAAGTATTTCTGAAAAAATCCTAATTAAAGAGTTTTGATCTGAAATATTAATTCTAGACACATAAGATAGTTCTGAAAGTTTCATCGAATCTTTTTTGGATTCACTGAAATAACATCGAAGGTACTAAAGTCAAAGATAAAACTGTCGAAATGAAAATGTTGAAAGTAAAAATCTCGAAAAAAACCTTGCACTATTTGAAGTTACGGAAGTTGAACACCGTAATGATATTATTTAGAGCATTAAAAGGAAGATGACACAGTATAATGTAGTATACTGGTAAGTAATGTCGGCGCCAGAAGTAGATGCAGAAAACTCAAGGAGGAATATCTCCTGAACGGATGTAGCTAGCTACCTGCGGTTTTCACCATTAGAAAGAAAACGCCCAGGGGCATCCATACATGGTAAAATATAATTGGTCAGCAATGGACCAATGAGATGCATTCTCGATGGAAATGTTGAGCACGGTATTCTGGAGCTGTTTCTCAACTTTGCTCGATTGTTAATTTACGTTTTTGNTCATACTTGCTAATACATCTGGATTAACAATCGCTTCTTTAGGATCAGTCCATGATTCCTGATTCATATTTCGTATAAGACAAAGACTTGTATAAGTTACGAGAACCTTTGTAAAAGGCAGTTGAAGAAAAAAAAAGGTCACGTTTATATACACGTGCTTGTATATATACAAGACGTGAAGATAACGATAGATTAGACTATAGACACGTCCGATCACTGATCGATAGAGGAGAAGAATGATCTTACACAAAATGATTCTATTGACTAAATAATGAGGGAATTATCCAAGGTCATGTCTTACGTTTGAGATAAGATACCAGCCATTAGGTAAGACCTGCAAGGACTACAAAAAAAGCCTAGAAGAATTTTTGCCTATGGGCTACTTTTGTAAAGTTATGGTCGTTGCATGGAGCTTTTTACCTTTGGCAAAGTATATAAAAAAAAACTGATTAAACGAATTTCGGATTAAAACGTTGTCAACACACAGCTCTTGAAGTCATTAGAATTTCTTAGAAATATCTGCCGAAAAAGAATGATCTCTTCTCGAGATATCAAATCCACAAAAATCATGATATCTCTTCACAAGGGACAGAAAATATGTTTCTTTGTGGATTTGATATCTGACGAAGAGATCATTCTTTTTGAATGAAACTTTTAGAAAATTTTAATGATTTCAAGAGTTGTCTATGGACAAAGTTTTAGACCAAAATTCAATTTTTTCAGTCTCTCTATAAATATCTCTCCAAAGATAAAATAATCCAGTTTAACAGCCGTATTTCCAAAAGGACAGCACATGGGCAAGAACCAGAAGAAAAACAACGTGCTCCTGTACCCCTGGAAGTACAGGAAGTAAATGAAACACAATGGAAGTACGAGTGTACGACAACAGTACCAAAGCATAGCGGGACTGAGTTGAAGTATGTGGGGTATCGTAAGAGAACCGTAGAAGTACGAGAGTACGTCGTTTTTTCGTTGATTCTCAATACATGATTTAGCATCTTTTTGACTACTACTCAGCAGATTTCAGCCATAAAAAATATGATTTGAGTCGAAACTGGTAACATATTTTGAATCAGCACCGAAAACTGAATCGACTTATGGATGTTTTAGTTTTCTTTGCAAACATTTTCTTTTTTGTAGAAAAATTCATCCCCTGGTCTTCTCCTCAGGGTCTAATGAAAAAATGTTTTAACTTACTAGGGTTGACAAACTCACATAGTTTTACTTGAAATTCCAGGAATTCACTTGCGAATCTTTCCTCGTGAGACACCTCATTTAGTAGAGAATTGCTTGCTCTACCGTTTTATGTAATCAGAACGAAACTGTTTTTATGCGTTCTAGGTGTCGAAAAGTAGATTTGCTAAAGACAGTGTCTTTGAAAATTTCGGAATCATATTTATTTCTTTATCTTTTTGTTGTGAAGAATTTTCTTTACTAAGCTTACTATTCGGATTGTTTTAAGTATTAATGATTGCAGAAAATAAAAATTGAGAATGAAATTTTTTGAACAATTTCGATAGTGATTATATCTTATGCATATGATTAGTTCATTTCTAGATCAAAAGTCTTGAACGCTAATACATGATAATAACCTAATAATTGACTGTTCGACAATATTTTATAATTAGATAAAAAAATTCTTCACTTTCTTGAAGATTTGATCATTACAAATATCGAAGTTATTCTTAATATTTAGATATTAGAACTAGAATTGGTTTGTGAATGCAAGTCACTTATTGGAGTGTTGATAAACTTTCCAGGCATTGTTTTTTTCTGTGACTAGATGCATCTTGAAAAGCCCTATATGATAAACTAAAACATTCAGAAGAGAGAAGAAACTACGAGAGAATCCAAACTAGTCAAAATACGGTCTTGTGATCTCTATATTTTCTTAGACTTTAAACTTTAAAACTACAAAACTACACACTTTAACAGTTAATCTATTGCATGATTCATCGTATATTGTAGAGTATCGCTAGATCTATCAAATAAAACTTGAATGGACTCAATCGTTTTGATCGATTTCGCAAAAATGTCTAAATAGAAGCACAGTGAAATGTAAATTAAAAGGATGTAATAATCAGATGATCGCTAAAAGTTGTATGAAATAAAATTTTCTTACAATGATTTTAAGTTGAAAATAAAACTACTGACTTCTCGGTCAGAATGAATGTTTCTTTTCAGCAATGTAGTTGAAATCGAAAAGAAACATCTACTTCTTGTCAAAATGTTTGATTGTCTAATGGAACTTGTCTTATATTAATGTTCATTCCAGTGATTTATATACTTAAATAATAATCTTTAAATATTTTAGAGTATTTTCAAATTGAAAAAAAAAAAAATCGAAATTTTATCTCCGATATTTCAAATCAGATTTATTTGTCTATATATCAAAAAAAAAACTATCTACACTTTGCTGTGTTCCTTGTCTTTTTAGATTCATAATGCACAGAAAAACTTTAACAAAATATGAAATAACATTATATGATAAACACTGATATAGACTATGTTTCAAACAGAATAAAAATTAACGTTTGAAATGTGGTTAGTTTTTGATGTTTTTTGTATATATTATTTATTTGTATGGTCTTTTGTATCTAATGCTAAAATAACTGGAGTAAATCGTCCAACAATAGGCATAATTCGTTGGGATGCTTGGAATTTAATCAATGGACACTATGATGCAATATCATATTATTCTCATCGTGCTATGAGTCCAGAACATTTTCATTATCGTTTACCATTTTTTGCCAAAATTAATTCGGATACAAATGTTACTATTAATGGTGATAGTCAAGAAATAATCGATCAAGAAATTTTATATGCAAATTTTGCAGGTTTTGATTATTGGGCATTTGATACTTATTGTTCATTTGGACCTAATTGTACAACTAATTCTTCATATTGTGTTCAATATTATAAACAAACATCTAATCAGTATTGTCCTGAAAATCCAGCATATGGATTAAATCGATATTTATCAAGTCAATATGTTTCATTGATTAATTTTACTTTTGTTTTATTAGGTTCATCACCTTGTGATGATAAATTTCAAGAATCTTATATTGAATTTATGATACATCCTCAATTTCAAACTGTATTAGATGGAAGACCACTTTTATATTTATTTCAATTTGGTGACGAAGAAGCACAACTTTGTGGTGGTGGATGGCAAGGTAGTGAACGAATATTTAATAATTTTCGACAGAAGGTGATGAGTCGAGGTAAATTTTTCTTTGACAATTCAATTTCTATGAACGTTATCATTTATTATTTTAGGTTTAAAAAATCCATACATGGTTTTGATGGATGCAGATATAACAAGATGTAAGACTAATGCTGCTGCTATTGGATTTGATGCAATATCATCGTATGGAATAGGTGGTGGTGGCACTATTCAAGTAAATATTTTCTTCTAATTGATTAAAATACTAATCAGATTCATGTAGGGTTCTCCATTCAATGATGAAGTTCAAAGAAGTGAACAGTAAGTCATATTGATTTTTATTATTAGTTTTTTTTTTTAAATTAATGATTATGTCAATTATGATAGGATCCAAGAGATAAGACATCTTACACCTTTTCGAATAACTCTGCAAGGTGAAGACATACGGAGAAATGTACTTCACCCACTTACAGTAAAGTCTAGAGCATACCGAACACTAATTGAAACGAATTCTTCCATCGGGTTTCTAGAAGATTTTCAGAAGGATCTTTATAAAACTGTAATGTTGAATTCCAAAAAAAATATTTAAAAGATCCTTCTGAAAACCCTCTAGATATCCGATCGAAATTTTTTTTTCAATTAACATTAAGCATGCCGCCTCAGACTTGACTACAACTGAGCGAAAAATGTTTCTCGATATATCTTCGCCTTGCCAAGTTATTCGAAAAGACGCGACATGTCTTATTTTTTGAATTCAATAATAGATGGTGGAATTCTGCTATTCAAAGTGGAGCTAAAGTTGTGATAACTCTTCCAACTGGTTGGGATCCACGACCACGATATGAACATCCTGTACCATGGGTTGATCAAGGTCCAGAACATTTCTTACAGCCAACTGCTGAAGAATTACAAAACTTTTTTAAAAGTTCAATTCAATTAACTTGTGTAAATAAAAATATAACTGAAGCTCAAACAGTTATTGTCTATGCTTGGAATGAATGTAGTGAAAATGGTGCATCTCTTATTCCTACGATTGGAAATGGTACATACTATATTAGAGCTCTTTCAGAAATACTTCCTATGTCTTGTTAAATAAAAGTTT